CTAATATTTTAAAGTATAAATCATAATTCTCTTAGAAGCATTATACTTTGTGTACTCTTGCTTTGGGTCTCATTTTTAATGGAACATGAAGGGAACGCATTATATTAATTGTAACTTTGTGAATATCTTTTATCTAGAGGTTTGTTGCTATTTTTGTTCTTTGTGAAATTTTTGTCACCAAGTAAGGCAGGATTACATTTTCTTCCAGACTGAGTTGATGTTGGGTATTCTTGGTTATCAAAATACTCATAGCTTTGGGACTTTGAAATGGTAAATATTCATGATGTGTGAGAAAGCATGATACATAACTGTACCATCTTAATTACATAAAAATGAAAGCTTGGTTGTGTAGATACACAGGACTTAGACACGTCAGACTAAACTGCTTGTGATTATGGATGGCTTAGTTCTTTGCTTGTGTTTTTCAGTTTCCTATATATGCACATGTTAACTTTAAAAGAATAAATGTTAGCTGTAACCGGTTTGGCTCAGTGGATACAGTGTCGGCCTGCGGACTGAAAGGTTCCAGGTTCGATCCCGGTCAATGGCATGTACCTTGGTTGCAGGCACATCCCCAGTAGGAGGTGTGCAGGAGGCAGTTGATCGATGTTTCTCTCACATCGATGTTTCTAACTCTTTATTCCTCTCCCTTCCTCTCTGTAAAAAATCAATAAAATATATTTTAAAAAATAAATAAATGTTATTTTAAAAGCCTTAAAAAAAAGAAGAAGTGAAAGCTTGCAGATCAGAAATGAGAGAGAGCAGTAGAGGCACTACAGTTCAGACAAGAGACAGGCAGGACAGGGCCTGAGCTAGGGCCAGAGTCAACTTCATGAGCATGTTACCTGTTCATTGCACTGGGCCAACGTCCAGTGCTTGGTTTAATGTTCTGCAGTCACTGTCTTGAGATCTTTTTTGAACACGGGGTTCTGCTTTTTTTATTTTGCACTGGACCCCACAAAGTATGTGGCCAGTCCTGGTTAGGGCAGTGGTTGTGGGGATAGAGAACAGTGATCAGGACCTGCAGGTTGTTAAGAAGTCAAACAGGACTTATTTAGTGACCCCTTTGATGAAGGGTTGGAAAGAAGGAAGACTAGGATGAATCCCAGTTTTCCAGGTGGGTGGTGGTTCTCTTAATAAGGTAGGGAATGTGGGGAGCGTGACAGGTTTAGGGAAGAATTAAATCATGAAGTCAGTTTTAGACTAGGTTTGAGGTGGTTGTGGACAATGCTAGTATCCCAGCTTCTCTAACCCCAATTTCTTCCAGCATCCCTATCTCTCCCCACATGTGACCCTGACCCTGCCTTTCTGGATACACAGGGCGAGACTTCTGCATATACAGTCTCTGCCTGTAATTTATTATTATTATTATTATTATTATTACTAGAGGCCTGGTGCATGAAATTTGTGTACTGCGGCAGAGGCGGGGGTCCCTCAGCCCGGCCTGCGCCCTCTCACAGTCTGGGACCCCTTGGCAGACATCCCTCTCACAATCCGGGATCCCTCGCTCCTATGCTCAGCTCACTGCTCCTTAGCAGAAGGCTCGTTACCACTCGGTTTGCTGCTCCTTAGTGCTGCCACAGAGGCAGGAGAGACTCCTGCCACCGCTGCTGCGCTCTCCAGCCGTGAGCCCGGCTTCTGGCTGAGCCGTGCTCCCCCTGTGGGAGCACACTGACCACCAGGGGGAAGCTCCTGCATTGAGCATCTGCCCCCTGGTGGTCAGTGCACATCATAGCGACCTGTTGTTCTGGTCATTCTGCCAAGATGGTTGCTTGGGCTTTCATTATATAGATTATTTTTAGCTAGAAAGACCTAACACAAACAAGCAAACCCAAAAGTCCTTGTTGGGTTCCATGAACCCACAGTAAGCTCCAACCTGACTTCACAGTTGACAAATCCAGGCAGCCCCTATTCCCCTTTCCTTCCTCTTTCGGAGCCATCACCCGCCCTCCTTTTCTCCTCTAAGACTGAAAAGGGGGTAAAGAGAGAAATGAGCAAAGATGACACTCAGAAGGACCCATGGCCATTCCGAGTTCTTGTCTGGCTTTTTAAAAAAAAATTTTAAATTTTTTTTGTTGATTTCAGAAAGGAAGGGGGAGAGAGATGGAAATATCAATGATGACAGAAAATCATTGGTTGGCTGCCCCCTTACGCCGCACACTGAGGATCCAGCCCACAACCCAGGCATGTGCTCTGTGACTGGAATCGAACCCAGGACCTTCAGTTCGCAGGCCAACGCTCTATCCACTGAGCCAAACCAGCTAGGGCTAGTCTGGCCTTTTTTTTTTTTTTTTTAAGCCTTATCTTTATTGTTAAAAGTATTACAGATGTCTCCCATTTTTTTCCTATTGACCCCCTCCACCCTGTACCCACCCCTCCCATGGACTTTTTTTAAGGCCTCACTGAGGAGATGATCTTGCTGATTTCAGAGAGAGAGGAAGGGAGAGGGAGAGACGGAGACAGAGACAAGGACACGCTGCCTTCCTTTCGTGGCACCTAGACCAGTGATGGCGAACCTATGACACGGGTGTCAGAGGTGACATGCGAACTCATTGTTTTGGTTGATTTTTCTTTGTTAAATGGCATTTAAATATATAAAATAAATATCAAAAATATAAATCTTTGTTTTACTATGGTTGCAAATATCAAAAAGTTTCTATATGTGACACGGCACCAGAATTAAGTTAGGGTTTTTCAAAATGCTGACACGTCGAGCTCAAAAGGTTTGCCATCACTGCCCTAGACCAAGGATCGAACCTGAGCCTGGGTATGTGCCCTGACCAGGAATCAAGCCCATGACCTTTCAGTGTACCGGAGGACACTCAAACCAACTGAGCCACACCAGCCATGGCTGGCCTGGTCTTTTTTTGTTTCTTTTTTTGATCACCCAGCAGGCCTAGAGAGAGCCACTAGCTACTCTTGGGAGTGTGTGGTTGAACTGAATTCTGGAGATTCTGGGAATAGGACACCTATGTTCCCCT